AGTATTCTTAAGATTTAATGGAATGTTTATCAAAATCACAGTGACATATTTTATAGCAGAAACAAGAAAAAATCATCCTGAAGTCTAAAGAGAATTTTAAATAATCTGGATTCGCCTAAAAATCTTAGCAATGAAGGAAATGTTGGAGGTTTCACATATCCTGGTTTCAAAACATATTACAAAACCATAGTAATATAAACAGTTTGGTGCTAGCTAACAACAAATATATAAACCAATGAAATGCAATAGAGAGGCCAGAAAGAAATACATGTATATGCTCAAAAGATCTTCAACAAATGTGTCAAGAACACAAGGTTGAAAAAGGATAGCCCCTTCAATAGCAGTGTTGAAAAAAACTGGATAAACACATGCTAAAGAATCAAGCTGGATCTGTAGACCTTGTATAAACATTAATGCAAAGTTGATTAGACCTAAACATAAAGAAATAAAATATAAAACTCCTACAAGAAAACATGAGAAAAGCTTCATGACATTAGTTTTGACCATTGATTTTTTAATATTATACTTTATCACGGAAAACTAAAGGAAGCTAGACAACCTATTGTATTATAATTTTAAAAATTCTGTACATCAGTGCAAAAAGAAATCAACAGAATATAAAGTAAACCTACAGAATACAAAACAAAAAATGATTAAAATCATATCTGATAAGGGTTGTAATTCAGAAAATGCAGAGAACTCCTACAGGTTAACAACCACAAAAAGTAGCCCAATTAAAAAATGGGCAGAAGACCTGATAGACATTTCTCCGAAAAAAACAAGTGGACAACAAGCATATGAAAAGATGCTCAACATCACTAGTAACTGAAGAAAGGTAACTCAAACCCACAATTAAGTATTAACTAATATCCATCAGGATGCTCACTAAGGACGAGAAAATATCAAATGTTGGAAAGAATGTGGAGAACCTGGAGCCCTTGTGCACCTCTGATAATAACATCAAATGCTGTAGCTGCTATGGCAAACAGTAAGGAAGTTCTTCAAATATCCACAAGTGATTACCATAGGACCCATTAATCCCTCTTCTGGGTAATAAACATTCAAAAGAACTGACAACATGATCAACTGTCAATCTTGAACATATTTCTGAACACCAATATACACTGCAGCATTATGCCAAATAATCACACATGTCCAGGTGACTGGACAAAAACAACAAAAACCAAAAAAACACAACAGTGATGCATGCATATGATGGAAAATTATATAGCCTAAAAAAAGAAGGAAATCCTATCCCATGAGACAACATGATGACTCTTCATTAAGCCAGTCATAAGGAGACAAATACTTTAGGATCACATCTATATAAACTCACTGCAGTAGTCAAAATCATGAAAACATAAAGGGGAGTAATGGTTGCCAGGGTCTTGAGTGAAAAATAATGCAAGAATTGTTTCTTTATGGATATAGAGGTCCTGTTTTATAACATGAAACAGTTTCAGCGATCTATTACACAATAACTGAATATAATAAACTACAGGTATCTAAGAGTCTAATCTTTACATTTTTTACCACAAGTAAAAATAGAAAAACTTCTTAAAATTTCAAAAACCTACATTCGTGATTTAAACTTAGCACAAAATTTAACTGGAAACCAATTAAGTGATTGATTTCATAGATATGTGTAGAAAAGGACTAGAATTGTTTTAAAGAAAAGCTTTTAAGTTTGACAATATACTATCCCTGTTTTCACCAAACTGCTTTATAGTAGTTCAAACTTAAAACTATTTAATGTGATTTAATAAAGTAGAAAAAAGATATGAGTACAGAATAATTCTGTAAAATACCTTGGCAATTATTTTATATGATGGACTAGAATATACAATAAGCAGAGTTGTTGTTATCAGGCAGCATAACAAATTAGATTATGATTGTGGTCTTAGTAGCCCACTGTCTTAAGGGGACTTTCTGCTTCCTTAGAATTTAAGACAAACCTAAGTAGTGAGGTTTGTTTTAACTCATTAGTAGCATAAGAATAAGGAACAAAATCTAAATAATAGAAAAGCATTTAAAGTTTTGTTTTTATTTACTTACTTTGATAAGGGGGAGAACAATAGCACTAAAAATTCCTTTCTATCTCTTGTTTTTAAAACCTACCAAGAAACAGATGTAAAACTATAGGAGGCACTAGAATTGGAGGGCACAGAACTTCCAAGACATTTGAAAATAAACCATAAACAAGAATAGATGAGGCACTAAGATAACTAACAATTAAAATGTAGGTTTGTTTATCCTGGTGATTTAGACACCAGTTGGGACACCTTCATCCCTACAAGAGTACCTGGTTCAAATCCTGCCTCTGCTCCTGATTCTAGCTTCCTGCCAATGTAGACCTTCGATAGCAGTGGTGATGGCTCAAGAAGTTGAAACGGGTCTCAACCAACCACATGGGAGACTTGGATTGAGTTCCTGGCTTCAAGCATTTGGGGAATTTGGGGATTGAACTAATGGATGGGAGCTCACATTTTGTCAATGCTTTTAAAAAACCAAAATTATATCAGTGTGTTCCGTGCCCTTAAGTTACCTCTGTAATAATTAAGAAAAGAAAGCACAAAACTCTTGAAATATCTAGGAGGGATAAAAAATATCACCCACAATCTTTATGGGCTACATAGTAATACCTTTCCTTGTTTCAATACTGCTTTTATGCTTCCAAAACAGAAATTTTTCAAGGATTCTACCATTTTCATATTATTCCTTTAAGTTTCTCCTATCTCCTCTGAGTAAATAAATGAGCACTGGGAAGCAGTTTTGAAAATAAATTCGACATGCAACACATCTCAAAAGTACGTAATGGACTGCATGTGAAAAGGGAAAAGTAGAAATTCACATTGTACAAAACACAAGAAACAGCTCCAAAGAAAAATGTTTGGTTCATATATATCAAATAAATTTTTGAATGTAAAAACTTTAGAAGTTGGTATTGTGGTGTAGAGTGTTAGACTATCACGTGGAATGTTTGTATCCCTTATTGGAGAGCCAGTTAAGAGTCACAAGCAACCCTGCTTCTGATCCAGTTTTCTGCTAATGTGCTTTGGAAAGCAGCAGGTGATGGCCCAAGAACCTGGGTTCCTGTCATCTAGGTGGGAGATCCAGAGAGAGTTCTGAGGCTCCTGACTTTGGCCTGACACAGCCCCAGTTGTTGCACACATTTGGAAAGTGGATCAGTGGATGGAAGATCTCTACCCACCCCTCTGTTACTCTACCTTCACAAAAGTGTATACTCAGTTTCAAATAAGAATATAAGAAATAAAATAGCTCAGTTTTAAAAGCATAACACAGAAACAAAACTAAGGAAATAGAGTTTGGAAACTTCATTAAAGAAGTTTCAATGAAAATAATTTCTCAGTATAACCAGATAAAAATGTAGGGAGAGGGCCAGTGCCATAGTGTAGCAGGTAAAGCCATCATTTGCAGTAACAGTGTCCCATCTGAGTGCTGGTTCAAGTCCCAGCTGCTCCACTTCCAGTCCAGCTCTCTGCTATGCCCTGGAAAAGCAGTAAAAAATGGCCCAAGTCCTTGGGCCCCTGCATCCACGTGGGAGACCCAGAACTTTCTGGCTCCTGGCTTCAGAGGCGCAGCTCCGGCAGTTGCAGCCAGTTGGGGAGGGAACCAGCAGACGGAAGACCTCTCTCTGCCTCTCCTTCTCTCTCTGTGTAACTCTTTCAAATAAATACATAAATCTTTTTAAAAATTATGGAAATTACTCTCTATTAAAGCAAATATTAAAATCAACTTTAGTTGCTCAGAAAAAGAGAGAGGTTAAAGGTGAAAAAGATAAAAAGAAAACAAATTAACAAGGATAAAACCACTAACAGATACTGTAATAGATTCCTTTTCTGGTGACAGAACAATTCTACATGTTTACTGTGGTGAGAGGTACATAAATCTACACACAAGATCAAACTTCAGAGAACCATGCACACAGACATGCATGGAAAGCCACACAAAGAATTCATGTAAGATCTGGTGCAGGCTGATAAGGTTTGCAAGCTACCTAACCAAACTATACCACCTTCCTGATTTTGAATTAACTACAGTTATGTAAGATTTTATCACTGGTAGAAGACAGGTTCATATGATTCTATGTATTTGTGTATATCTATGTACATATGCATACACACACATTACATAGTCTATACTATATACTTTTACATACTCATTTTTGCAACTTCCTGTGAATCTATAATTACTTCAAAGGAATTTTAGTTTAAAATCAAATAATAACATGAAAATGTACCACTATAGAAAAACCTATAGGAATAATGATTATTATTAATTATTATTAAAATCTCTAAAACGACATGGAACAATTTATGCTATGATATTTGGACTTAATTCTATACTCAAAAAAAGGGTGGGAAGCACTTAAGGCAATAATATGACAATCTAATCCTGTATGTTACAATAATAGGACTCCATGGGGAATAAAGAATGAAAGAAACAGGAATATAAATGCCAATCTATGAGAATAGCAAGTGATGATTAGAAAAGGTGAATTAGTTGTAGAGATGCAGGTCCAGAAATAACACAAGTATGAATAATGTACAAACAAATTTCAGGGGAGCAGCACTGTGGCACAGCAGCTTAGGCCAATGCCTGCACCACGAGCACCCCATATGAATACCAGCTCAATTCCCAGCATCTCAACTTCCAATCCAGCTTCCTGCTCATGCACCTGGGAAAGCAGTGGAAGTGACCATAGTACTTGGGCTCATGCTACCTACAACGGAGACCCAGATGGAGTTCTGGGCTCCAGGCTACAACCTGGTCCATCCCTGGCTGTTGTGGCTATCTGGGGAGTGAACCAGCAGGTCTGTCTCTGTCTCACCCTCCATTTCTCTAATTCTGCTTTCCCAAAAAATAAATCTTAAAGAAAAAACAAGTTTCAGACTTGTAATAAAGGAAAAGTTTTCTCCTGTTTGCTAAGATTATCACTTATCAGTGAATATTAATTATGTACAGATAGAAATTCTTACTTCTTGTCTTTTCTTAAGATCTTCTTTGGCTGCTCCAAAGCGTTTGGTTAACCTTGCTATCTTGGCCTGAAAAAAATAAAAATGAAACACAAATTGCATTTTAAGATTAAAAAGGAATCAATGTATATCTAACAAAAACCCTATAAATAACTGGATCCTCAGAGGCAGCTGAAAGCAGAATTAAAGTACGCTAACTTTAAAACATACACCTGGAGAGTATGAAATATTATGCAGCACTCTTAACTTAAATTTAGCTTATTTTCTTCTAGATCTGTAGGTGTTTACTCACCAAGTAATACTCATATTCTTTTTAAAATGAAAGCCTGGGGTCTGCATTGTTTTTTAATACAGTGATAACCACACTTCATTTTCTTACTGTGACTTATACAGTAGAAATATCTGTAAGTCATCAAAGATCGTCTTCTAAAAATATTCATGTATCAATGCATAGCAGATTGAAAAATTATCTACATACTCTTCTATTACATAGGTTTCATGTTCCTCAATGTCCTGTTAACATACTACTGAAATTAATAATCTTGACTTTCTTTCACATGATTTCCTTAGGATACATTCACAGAGGTGGCATTCCTGAGATCAAATATATTTTTAAACTTCTTGCCTAAATGTGTTCAGAAAGGCTTTACAAATTGACACTTTAATAATTGTGTAAAAGAATGTTTACCAAAACATTTAATTTCATAATCTTAAGTCCATTAATATAGCCTAGAAAATCCATTACCTATAACTCTCAAAAGTGAAGATTTGCTCCATGACTTACTTATGCACATTATTAAGACCAAAAGACAAATAGCATAACTTCACACCATTAATATGGATTCAATTTTATGGGGACTATACTATTTCAACTAACTTTTTCAAAAATGATATATGAAATGGTATTTTTGAGCCCCAATGCATGCAAGAATGGCTTTTATTTATTTCCTTAGTCAGATGGTCTTTGTGGGTATTTTATAAATTATACATATATATCATTACTGTTCTATCTTTACTTAAAAAGGAAAACAAAAAAAGTCATTTAGCCTATGACATGTATATGAGAAAAAGGCTTCGAAGGATACATAACAAGGTGAAAAGTGGTTACTTTTAAGGCCAGATGGCAGGAATTATGGCACTGAAGGTAAAAGCTGCCACTTTTACTGGCATCCCACATGAGCACAGGTTAGTGTCTGAGCTGCTCCATTGCCGATCCAGCTAATGGCCTGAGAGAAGCAGCAGAGGATGGCGTAAGTGTTTGGGCTTTGCCACTCACGTGGGAGACCTAAATGAAGCTCTTGGCTCCTGGCTTCAGCCTGGCCCAGCCCTGGCTGTTGCAGCCATCTCTCTTTCTGTCTCTGTCTCTCCCTCTCTCTGTCACTCTTTCAAATAAATAAAGCTTTTGTTTTTTTTAAAGATTTTTTTTTTTTTTATTTGACAGGTTTATACAGACAGAGAGAGAGAGAGAGAAAGGTCTTACTTCCATTGGTTCACTCCCCAAATGGCTGCTACAGCCGGCACCACGCCAATCACAAGCCAGGAGCCAGGTGCTTCTTCCTGGCCTCCCACGCGGGTGCAGGGGCCCAAGCACTTGGGCCCTCCTCCACTGCCCCACCCCCCCCGCCCCGGGCCACAGCAGAGAGCTGGACTGGAAGTGGAGCAACCAGGATTAGAACCCGGCACCCGTATGGGATGCCAGCACCGCAAGCAGAGGATTAACCTAGTGTACCATGGCGCCGGCCCCCAAATAAATAAAGCTTAAAAAAAAAAAGGTACAGAGGATTCTGCCTTCATTATTGTAAAATTTGAAGTGTTCTTAATTAAAAAGAACTATCACTTAAAAATTAAATCAGTACTATAGAAAATAAAATCAAAATGTGGACATTTACTTCTTTTTTAGCTTTTATACAGTAAGAAAACTGTACAATTGTTTCTTTTTAACTCAAACTATCATAGTGTATATTAGAGTAGGTCTCTGTTTTGGCCATTATTTTTTGAGACTTTTAAAAATATATAAATGAGTCATTTATCTAAGTTCAACAAAGTAATATTCTATTATTATGTCTTTGACTATTAGTTCTAACTTTTAATTGGTTTCTTCTTTAGCACAAGTACAGTTTCTTGTATGATGGCACAACCCTAGCTGTTCAAGTACGAACCACATAAACTGCTGGGAGTCAGACATACCGAGCCTTGCTCAGCAAAACAGACAAGCCAAGAACTGCTTTGCAGATATATCAAGGAACTTTATAACCATATAAAAATAGTTCATTATGCATCAAGTATGGCCTAATAACCAAATATTACTATAAAAAGCTAGTGAATATATGGACAACAGGTATCTATGAGTCAAAACTGTTCCCTGTATTAGATTTTACTATATTGGTAGAGAAAAGGAGGAAAGACTGAAAGCATAAAGTAAAATAGCTACTTTTGTTTAAAATTACTTAAAATTTTCCAAGACATAACCAATTTAATACTGTATTCCAGGGTGAGATGACAACCCATCCATTTCCACAAGAAATCCAGTTGAAATTTGGTGTATTCTGAATTTATAATGACTTGGGGGCGCCGGTACCATGGTGCACTTGGTTAATCCTCTGCCTACAGTACTAGTATCCCATATTGGTGCCGGGTTCTAGTCCTGGTTGCTCCACTTCCAGTCCAGCTCTCTGTTGTGGCTGGGGAAGGCAGTGGAGAATGGCCCAAGTGCTTGGGCCCCTGTATCCGTGTGGGAGGCCAGGACGAAGCACCTGGCTCCTGTCTTGGGATTGGCGCAGCGCCAGCCATAACAGCCATTTGGGGAGTGAACCAACGGAATAAAGACCTTTCTCTCTGTCTCTCTCTCTCACTGTCTATAACTCTACCTGCCAAATAAAAAAAAAAAAAAAAAAAAAAGGAAAGAAAAGAAAGAAAAAAAATAATGACTTGGGAAAATTCAGCCCTTCTAGATTAAATTAAGTCCTCCTATAGGGACACAATTTAACACCTGTGACTCCTTTTTTCTTTTACTGGCTTTTTTCTTCATAAAGGCATTAAAAACTCATTTTGAGTCTATTCTTAAGTACTTATTTATTTTTAAGTAACTACTTTTTTTTTTTTGACAGGCAGAGTTAGACAGTGAGAGAGAGAGAGAGACAGAGAGAAAGGTCTTCCTTCTGTTGGTTCACCCCCCAAATGGTTGCTATGGCTGGTGTGTTGTGGCCAGCGCGCTGCGCTGATCCGAAGCCAGGAGCCAGGTGCTTCCTCCTGGTCTCCCATGCAGGTGCAGGGCCCAAGCACTTGGGCCATCCTCCACAGCCTTCCCGGGCCACAGCAGAGAGCTGGACTGGAAGAGGAGCAACTGGGACAGAATCCGGTGCGCCAACCGGGACTAGAACCCGGGGTGCCGGTGTTGCAGGCGGAGGATTAGCCTAGTGAGCCGTGGCACTGGCCTTAAATAACTACTATTAAAGAAACCTTTTTCATTACATTTTCTAACCAGCTGTTAGCAATGTACATAGTAAAGTCCCTAGAATATGTTGTCCAAATACCACACAGTTGCTAAAATTCTACCACGTTAATTTTATCAGGGAATCACCAACAATTATTCATTTCTTCTATTGTCACTAGACTACCACCAAAGCTCTAATAGTAATGAAAATGATCTGCTTATCAATATTTCTCATATCAATAAAGGTGTGGACTCTTGCCATGAATTCAGAGAAGAATTCTGAATATTGGATCAAGTACACCAGGCACCATGGTCAGTTTTTTAAGATTTTTAGTTAGTGAGGGAAATGCATAGGGGAATTAGGGCTTTATCTAAGGAGAAAGAAAAGAGAGACTTAAGTTGGGGTCCATACCAAGCAGAGAGCAGGCCAGGAACCACGTGCAGCTAGCATTTGGTTATGAGCAGCCACAAGTAGCTCAGCATTGGTAGCAAAGCGAAGGCAGATAGCGCAGGCAGCCCGAAGGCCATACTGGGCAACAAGGGGATCCAGGGCAGTGAGGGAAAATAAGGGCTGAACCCACTGGGCTCCAGGCCTTTTATCCACTTCCAAAGGGGAGTGGTTACTCAGCCTGACTGGCAGGTGGGTGTACAGGTGTGGTCAGGTAGGGGGAAGAGCTCACAAAGAGGTGTGGTGAAGGCATGGTCTTCAAGCTCATAATTCTAATCAATTTTATCCTATCTGCCTGCTACGTCATTAGCATCTAGTAATAAACCTTTTCCTCCATTCTGAATTTTAGGGGAAGTATTTCCTGTGATGTGCTGTTAAACACAATAATTATAACAAGTTTCTGATGAAGATCCTTTATGAAGCATTGCCCTACTTTTCCCACAAATGGCTGGTGAATGTTAGCAAATTCTTGGCACCTACTGAGATAACCATGCTATTTCTTGTTTTAACTTTCCTCTATTAATAAAATAAAATAAAATTATTTATGATGAACATGCCTTACATTAGTGAAAGAAACCCATGTTAGGAAATAAAATCATGTTTCGTCTTCTGTTAGGCTAAGAATTTAACAGTCGGGCTTGCTTCATATAAATGAGGCTTCATCTTTGTCTACACTCTAGAAGAGTTTAGTATGAGACATCAAGGATCTGTTACTCAAAGATTTATCACCATTTTATGGCAAATCTTTCTGAGGCCAATGACTTCCTTAAGTTTGGAGTTTAGTGTGTTATTGCTGTTTTATCTGGCATAGGAGATGAACACATAATATTTTTCTACCTTTTGTTTGTTAATAATAATGAATTTCAGATTATCAATTTCTGGGGCCAGTACTGTGGCACAGCAGGTTAACCCACTGCTAGCAATTCTGGCATCCTGTACTGCAGCAATGGACGCTGAGCTCTGCTTCTAATCCAGTTTCCTGCCATTGTAACCTTGGAAGGTATTAGATGATGGCTCAAGCACTTTGGCCTCTGCCACCCTGTGGGAGACCCAGATGGAGTTCCTGGGTACTAGCTTCAGCCTGGCCTAGTTCCAGCGGTTGTGGCTATTTGGGGAGTGAAGCAGTAGATGAAAAATCTGTCACTCTGCCTTTCAAATAAATAAATCTTAAAAAAAAAGCAATTTTCC